AATCACAGTAGTATTTTAGATTGAAAAATATCAGCTTGGTTGACAGTGATGAAGAGGTTCGTCGCAGCCAGAGGCATCAACGGTAACGATCTTGCCTCGTAGAGTCGTAGTCCCTCGGAAAATCACGGCAAGAGCGGAGGGGGGTGGAAGGAGTTAAAGCTAGAGAGAAAATTCCGGGGCCGCGCCAGAGAGAAATTTGGATCAGCAGCCTGCCGGCGGCCGCTGGTCTCAGGTTGGGCCCTGGCTGCTGTTGGGAATTTACGAGGTATTCCTGAAGATGCAGAGAAAGACATTCACGTTAGTCCGCACACGAGTACTTGGAAGTAAAGGTGCTCCCTCCTCGAACTACGATTCGACGGAGTTTGGAGAGAAAGCGGGAAAAAAGGGCCTGAATTTGGTGCAGTTTGGCAGCAGCATGATCATATATGATCGAATCACCCGAGGTTTGCGGCCCCTTCTCTTCATACCACGATAAAATAAAATATGTAGGTGCTACAGAGCTTGGACTAGATGGAGGAAGGAGGGAACGAGAAAGCAGGAAGGGGAGCAGGGGAGCCGCCTCCCGAGCTTCGAGTCCCAGCCAGTCTTGGCTCGGCTCGCGCAAGGGCGTCGGAGACGAGACCGCCACATCTCCCACGTGCACGCACACGACGGCCAGCTCGAGCTCCACGCATACACGACGGCCAGCTCAGGCTCCGCCCACGAGCCCCATCTCATTCCGTTCCCGCAAAAAGGACCCTCCGCGCAGAAAGACAGAACAAAAATGCACCTCCACCGTACCCCGCGTACCCTCCACCGTCAACCTCAACAGTAGCAGCAACACTCTCAATACCAACACCACCCCGTTCACCGTGTTTGTGCTGTTGAGGCCGACTGTTGAGGCCGAGGTTGACTATCTCGCCGGTGGAGTCGAGCGGTGTGTGGGTGTGCGTCAGCGAGTATTTCTATGAGAAATAAATTGAGGTGAGGAGGGGAAGAGGACGGACGGTCGGTCGGGCTTCGAGCAACACTCCGCTGTAGCACGAAACGGAAACACGTAGCGCGCCCTACTGCCGCGTGCGCTTACATCATTTCACGGTCATGTACGCCTATATCGCACCCCACCCTCTTTGCACCGTGGCGGGCAGCGCACCGTGATGGTATCCCACATACGCCATAAATCTCCGGCGCACGTTTTGCGTAACGATTAAGCACGCAAAAAACACCCCACCCGCCCCCGCCCCCGCTCCTATGCGTAAATCGCGCACAAAGCCAAGGAGCCCCGCGCACAGGGAAGGAGAACGACGGCAAAATAAAATAGAATAAAGAAAAGAAAACAAGAAACGAACGTAAGCACGCACATCACCCAGTTTCTCCTGGCTCAAAAAAGAAATCTCCCTCTCAATGGGCGTTTGCGAGCGCACAAGGACGCGGACGTGAGGGCTGTGATACCGTGTATCTGGGGAGGAAGAAAGTGGGTCAGTATTCGAATGCGAGGCGAAGGGAGCGAGGGAGGGAGAAGGAAGCCATCTGCGCCCACGAGCGCAAGCGGAGATACCGATATCGGTCCTGGCTGCATCGCGAGCGCGGAGCTCGATCCCCGACGCCGAGGCTCGTCCTATCCCAGCTGCAGACGTTATCCGCGTCCTGTGTCCCGCGCCCGACGGCCATCCGCGCGCTCGCACCCGCTGCTTGCACCCCTGCCCCCACGCCGACTGTATCTCAACGGGCGTGCGCGCGGCACCCTTGATACCCGAGCGTCCCTCCACACCACCGTCTCCCGCAAATAAACACCGCCAGCCCCGCCTCGACCTTCTCCTACAAACACGTCCCCACCACCTGCGCCCAAACCATCCCGACCAGCCGCTGCGTCTCCACCTCCACTAGTCGTAACAAAGTACCTTGCGGCACCGACGAAATCGCGCAGCCGCCGCCGGCGCATTTGCGGCCGCCGCACCGCACCACTCATGCCCACCACCCTCTGCGCCCTCCCCCGTCGCTCTCGCCCCCCAAAACACCCCCCACACCATCACCATCTGCGGCCAAACCACTCGCGGCACCCGCTGCCTCTCCATCTCCATATCCACGTCGCGCAGCGCGCTCCGCGCTCCTACCGCCATTGATCCCCTTGCGGTGCACCAAACCCACCGCCGCCAAACGCGAAGAACAGCACTGCAATATACAAAAACGCTAAAACGCACCTGTGGACCCGAATTCGCCTCAAGCTTCCGCCGCTGTCACTTCGCGCCACGGCCCTTGAGCGGGGTCGACTTGAGCTTCGGCGCCGGGTGTGCCCTGTGCGAGCGTCAGCGAACAAAGTACGAATGCGAGCCCCACGCGCAGATCGCGCACAAGGCTACAAAGCGACAAAGCGACTGCGGGACGTCATGCGAGAGGGGGGGTAACACAGGAAGGGGAAACAAGACGAAAGGAACCGGCAGCTTACATTCAATTCATCCTCCTTTGCGAGCACGAGCGCGGACGTGCGGGGTGTAATGTGGCGGGCCTGGGAAAGCAGGCAGAAGGGCGTTAGTATTGGTGTATTGTGGTACGGGGCGAGGGGAGGGAATGGAGGAAGAGAGGCAGAAGACCGCCGCGGCGGGCTGCACCGCGAGAATCCGCGGGTCCGAGTGAGAGTGTTACACACACACCCGCCCCTCGTCGGAGGGAGCTGCCCGACCCCGACCCGCGGACGACGCGCGCAAAAGACACGTATACGGCGTACGCCGTCGCGCGACACCGACGTCTGTAAGCACACGCTCCGCCCATCCCCTCCTGCCTCCCCTCCCCGCAATACAAAACCCGACAACACCAACGCACCTTCTTCAGCTGCACCATCAAATCGCCCTGCACCGGCACGGTGATTTTCTGCGTGAGGTCCCCGGTGGCGACGGCGTTGCAGACGCGCGAGACGTCGCGGACCTGCGGGGGTTGGTGAGTGAGATGTAAGATACGGGGGAGAAAAGAGGAAGGCGGGAGGGAGAGGGTAAGGTGGGGACAGGGCGATAAGAGCGGAGAGAAAAGAACGAAGAATCGCGACGAATACAAATACGAATCTAAGTACGGGCACAGCAGAGGCGGGGGCGATCGCCAGATAGGTATAGGTAGGGGGTAGAGGGCGGCAAAGCAGTACGATGCCGAGATCCAGCGTGTCCCAAAATAAGAGAAGACGCGGCCGACGCAAGGGGGGGGGGGGGGGGGGGGGGGGGCGCTCCGCGCAAACGAAGCAGCGAAAGCAATAACAGACACTCGAAGAATCGAATCTTCCCCGCCCAAAACCCCCCAAAAAACAAGTAGGAAGAACGAAGCCACCACCCACTTGATCCTTCAGCAACCTCAACGCGTCCAACGCGTCCATCCCGCCCTGCGTCGCCGCACTTGCTAACGCGCCGCCCGCGGGGACGACGCCGGGGCACCTTCAACAGCCGCAACTCCTCCAGCGCGTTCATCCCGCCCTGCGTCGCCGCGCTTGCGATCCATGTCCCGAGCTCCGTGTAAAACCTCGCCGTTCTGAGTTAGTAGTCGTCCTTCGGCCGGGTCTGATAACGATAGGGGTGGGGCGACGAGGGTGCCCATGGTTGTGGGTGAATCCAATGGCAGGCAGGGTGTGTTGGCATCGGGGGCGTCGGCAGCAGGGAGGCGGCTGAGCGACGTTGGCTGATGACAGGTGACGTCATCAGGGCGATCTTCCGCTTCTTCAGAATCTTTCACTTTCGCGATGGGACGCGTACTACTACTAGTACGGCGTTTGGGCTAGCTGGTTTGAATTTCAACTTGCTGGTGTAGAGAACGTGTTTTGTGCTTGGCCCGCTTCGCTGCTCCACCCGCTCCACAAACCTGCTCTGTTGCTCCTCGCTTGCTTGCTTGCTTCATTGAATGTGTTACTGCCCTGCGACGTCTGAGGCAACGAGACTCTGAATAACTATTATCCGCAGGTACGCAGGCACACCGGCTGGAGCTTTCCTGCGGCAAATTAAACGCTATCGCGCGCGTGGTGCATCACCCCTGCTTTAATGGTGCTTTAGCTTCGATCCCCCGCCTCCCCTTCCCATGTCTCCCCTCGGGTATCCAACTCCCCGCTCGCACTACTCGGATTACCACTGCCTAGTTGCAACTAGAATCCCGTCGAGCAAGAGTGGCCTTGAGAAGCCCGGGTCTCAGATGAAAGCTGAAACCCTACCCATAGCGCCGTCCGCGTCAGCTAACAGTATTTTTTTCTCTGCAGCGTACCTCATCCGCAACCTATCTCTACCTCGACCCTGGCGGCTGGCGGCGATCGATCTCACCTCTGTCTTATTGTGTTTGCACTCCGGTACCCTTTTTCAACCCATTTCGGACACAACCCGGGCCTCCTTCCACAAATACCCTTACCTTTTTCTTTTCTTTTCTCACCCTTCCCCGTTCCCGTTCTCGTCCATTTGATCTGTCTTCCAGCACTCTGTCAACACAACCCTGCGCCCCTGAGCCTGATATGTCGCGCCGCCGCGGATCTTCCCTTCCCGAGTTGAGTTGAGTTAATATTCATCATTCCCGTCCGAACACAGCGCGCATCGCGGTGAGATATACACCGCGATGCAATTATAGGACGCGTGCCACCGTAATCCCTCCCCCAAAAACGTACTTACGAGTATATTTGCGCATTCGGTGTACACTCAAACATACGGCCAATTCCACGGGTACCTATTCGAGGGTTAAAGTAGGTTGATAACGCCCGATAGCACACTGTGTGCACCTGCCTTCCCTTGTGATGGAGTGAATACGGAACTTAGTAGGCAGGAGGACCCCGTTCAACTCGGGGTCAGGTGATGTCGCCAGTCGAATGATTTGATCTTTTTATTCCCCCTCCCATTATCCAAATTCCACTTCCTCTACATGTAATACTTTTTTTTTCCACAATACACAATACACAATACACACTCGAACTGGACAGTGGTTTGGGTAAACCACCCAATCTACCGAGTCTCCTCACTCGTCAAGGCCTTTTCAACCCCACATATTGAAGGGTTGAGGTAGGGTAAGAACACCCGATAGTACATGGTGTGCACCTGCTTTTCTTAACTGTGCTTCGTCGAGAAATACAAGCAAGAGGTCCCCGTTCGACTCGGGGTCGGGTGATGATTGTTTGAGCAGCTTCTTTGTGCCTTTTTTCTTTCATCCCGGTCCTTCCTTACTGCACACTGCACCCTAATTTTTTTCAACCAACTTACAGTATTGCTGTTTCGAAGCTCAGGGAAACCGGCCAATATGCAGCATCTAAAACTTACTTAACAATTTCCATTTCAACCATACCACCAGATTTACTAAAGGTTGAAGAGAACACCTGATAGCACACGGCGTGCACCTGCCATCCTTGGGCAAAACAAAGTCTTGATATGTGCAGAAGGTCCCTGTTCGACTCGGGGTGGGGGTGATCATCTCGTCATTTTTTTTCTTTCCTTTTGACCCCATCTTCCATTTTTTTTGAATTTCAATAGATGTTACTATATACATACTGAAATTTTGCTCAAGAACACATATCCACACTACAAAGTCAGCAGTTGGACGGCATGTGATATTTCATTTTTTTCCAATCAGTGGATGGACCTAGCCAATTTTTGACCACACAAGCAGTTTATGCTTGCACATGAGTCCAGGGTTGATGTAGGTAGGGAACACCCGATAGCACATGGTGTGCACCTGCTTTTATTTGATGGCGACACAGAATGTAGGCATGATACCCTCATTCGACTCGGAGTCCGAGTTGGGTGATCGATTGTTGGGTTATTCTTTTTTTCCTCAACCAAACTCTGTCAACACATATTCCAGGGTTGAACATTGAGTAGGCAGCGAAAACGCGGTGTGCATCTATCTGCTTTCATTCACCGGCCGCGCATGTAGGCAGGAGGCCCCTATGCGACTCGGGGTCGCGTGATTCAGTATGATAATAATAGGCCCTTATTGGGGCTGCAATCCTTCCTCATCACCCTCATCTTTTTTGCGGATTTCTCAACCAGCATTCCTCTTTCAAACCTCATCGAACTTGAGGCATCACGTAATGCAGCATCCGAAATTTGTTTGACCAACTCGAGAACTTGGCCCTTGACCATGCTGTGCCACCAGATTTACTGCAGGGTTGAAGTAGAGAGGAGAGCACCTGATAGTGCATGGTGTGCACCTACTTTGCTTGAGCTGTCAAGCAGTATATGTAGGAAGGAGATCCCCGTCCGACTCAGGGTTGGGAGGTGTACATTGCGTTTTTTGTTCTTTTTCAGTTGTTGAGTAAAAGAAGGTCCAAACATCTATAACGCGAGGTACGAACACATTTTTTCTGCATTTTGCACATCTAAGACATGTTCATGTTCAGACTGCCAATCTGTAGCAACATCAAATTCTCGCAGTCAGTGCAAGATGAAAGCTTGTTGTCAATCCACGTTGGCACCCACATAATAAGTAGTACCACATCCACACAATCCGCAACACCTTCAAATTCTCAAGGCCTCACACCAAGCACCAATGCCACCATAGCTAATATTCTCTAGCTGTGCTATTTCCACCGTACATTCAAGTCACGGTTCACAGACCTCGGTGAATTAAACCTATTTAATAACGGTCACAGGTTACCAGGGAGTTTGAATTAGTGACCGTTTTGCCCAGCCTAGGGTGCAAAATTGGCCCTTCGCAAGCCTCTCGCGAGTGTATCGGCCGAATCTACACCAAGGTCAACATTTTGTCAGTTTGATGTTTGAACAATGAATGATAAAAATGGTGGTCACAGGTCCCGGCCCACCTGGAATGCTATGAAAGTCAGATCTAATGGGTCACAGGTCACAAGGCTTGAATCTACGGTCAAAATATTTTGTTCCGAGCCCGTTCTGACAATGCCGAGCAATGCCGGGTGGATAAGTAGATCAAACATCAAACCAAATACGTGCAACATGGCCTTTCGTTAAGCAAAGGGCCGGCTCGCTGGGCTGGAGAGGCAACAGGCTTGCTCCGAACCTACCGAAATAGTACAATATGAAAGTGTCGCTGTCAGCTGGCTGTCATCACCGAAGCGCCACATTGATCTAACTTTGATACGGACAGCACGCGGACAACGGGGCCAACCAGATCTAGGTCTTCTTTCACAGCCTTTTGCCTAATTAAAGGAACAAAGTGGCCCACATGTGTTTCTCCCACCCTTCCCCTTATCCTTGTCTCTGCTCAGATACGTTCTTCCCCAAGTCTACTCTTTGGTTAGTTTTATTTCACATGTGACCTTGGCACTGGCTGAAATATGTCATACATAAGATCCACAGTTAGAACGGACATGCCTCTTTTACCCAGTGAACTCCACCTTACCTTGCATGGTGCAAGATAAATTGTTTATTATGTCAACATTAGTGCTTATTTTATCCAGGAGGCACAGGAGGTGATGGTGGACAGGGTGGTGGACATGGTGGTCATGGAGGTGTCGGGGAGGGTCCCATCGTGAATTTTAATTACGGAAACAAGGAAGAAGAACGCAAAAGAATCATTGACTGGCTTTCACCTATCAATTTCTTTCTACGACAGGCAGATATTTCACAGATGCAGGAGAAAGGGACTGGTGGATGGCTGCTTGAACATCCTCTCTTTAAAAAATGGGAATGTGGTCTTGGAAGCACTCTTTGGTGCTGTGGTATTCGTATGTAATGGATCACCCTCATAGCTTCCAGACTAACCTGTAATTTCCAGCCGGTGCTGGCAAAACAGTTCTTGTGTGCGTTCATTCCTGACATCAAGTGGTGTTAATGATTATGACAATTTTAGATCAATGGTTGTGAACCATCTTGGCACCCAATTGCAACGCAAAAATACTGGTGTTGCTTGCATTTATCTGAACCACAAGGAAGTCGACGACCAAACACCATCTAGGCTTCTTGCAGGTCTCTGGAGACAGCTTGTGCTTGATAGGGATATTGGCTCCATTGCAGAGAAGTTATACCAGAAACACCAGGAGAAGGGCACTGCACCATCTCTGGAAGAAGTTGACAATGTGCTCAGCTCTAGCTTCAAGATGTTTTCACAGGTCTTCATCATTGTTGATGCCATGGATGAATATCCCGAGTTTCAACGGGAAATTCTACTACAACAACTAGCAGCAATGGGCAGCAATGTGAACTTGATGATTACTTCACGGCCAAATATTTCTCTGGAGCCCTCATCTTTCTGCAATCTTGAAAGACTAGATATTCATGCAATGGAGGATGATCTTCGAAAATATGTTGATGCACAAATTGTTTCATCACCACGGCTGCGCATGCACGTGATGAAGCAACCGGGGTTACGAGAAGACATTCATTCAAAAATCAACACTCAAACTGTGGATGGCATGTAAGTAGTAATGCTTTATCATGAGAAGATGGCTCAGATAAATTTACCCAGGTTCCTTCTGGCCAAGCTTCACATTCAGTCTCTCAGCACAAAGAACACCATAAAGGCACTTCGAGAAGCTATGAAGGAACTACCAAAAGGCCTTGATGACAGCTATGATATAACAATGCAGCGGATAGATGATCAGACAGAAGAGGACAAAAAGACAGCTCGCTCTGCCCTCATTTGGGTTGCAAATGCAAAGCGACCATTGAACGTCTCTGAGATAACAGCAGCTCTGGCCATTGAACCTGAGGACCAGCAGTTTGACGAAGACAATGTTCTGGACATCAACATTATTCTTTCTGTCTGTGCTGGGCTTGTCATTGTGGACAAGCAGTCTTCCGTGGTGCGACTTGTCCACTACACCACACAGGAATATTTGGACAAAATCCAGGCTGAGAAGTTCCCAGATGCGCACACAGAGATAACACGCACTCTGCTCACAGTTCTAGCCTTTGATGGGTATCCAAATGAGTCCTGGAGTCGTTTGGGGGCCACTCCACCCACACTTGTTGACTATTCTCAATATTGCCTTGCACATGCTGCTGGGCAGCCTGAAGAGCAGCTCAGAGAAAATCTTCTAATGTTTCTTGATCAGACCCCTCAGTGGAATAAAACAATGATGTGGTTATGGCACTCCCCACCATGGAATTATGCAGATTGGCCATCACAACCCTCTGCATTGTGGGTTGCCGCAGCTGCAAACCTTGGGGAAACCACAAAGTTTCTACTGGAGCGGGTACTCGTGCCTGACCACCGAGGAACAGAGATCATTGTTGCATCATACTACGGCCATTTTGATATTGTTCAGTTGCTGGTGGAGAATGAGGCACATGCCAATGCACAGAGTGAACAGTATGTTTGTGCATTTTATGTAGCACTAGTCAAGCAGCATAAAGAAATTGCAAAGCTGCTCCTCAGCAACCTCGTCTCCAGGCACAGAGCTGTTTTTAAGCTAACTACAGATGAGGTTCCCACTCTGATTAACCTTGGAAATTCTGTGGAAACTTTCAGCTCACTCGATAGCCTTGGACTTGCACTTTGGACCCGATTTGAGCAGACAGGTCAGCTGGCAGACTTGGAGGAATCCATTCCTTTTCACCGACAAGCATTGGAGCTGAGACCTGGATCCCACCCTGATCGATCTGACTCACTCAACAACCTCGCAAATGCGCTTCAGACCCGATTTCAGCAGAGAGGTCAGTGGGCAGACTTGGAGGAATCCATTGCTTTTCACCGACAAGCATTGGAGCTGCTCCCTGGATCCCACCCCAACCGATCCAGCTTACTGAACAACCTCGCACTTGTGTTTTTGACACGATTTGAGCGGACAGGTCGGCTGGCAGACTTGGAGGAGTCCATTGCTTTTCATCGACAAGCATTGGAGCTTATCCCTGAATCTCACCCCCACCGATCCAGCTCGCTCAGCAACCTCGCACTTGCACTTTGGACCCGATTTCAGCAGACAGGTCAGCTGGCAGAGCTGGAGGAATCCATTGCTTTTAACCGACAAGCATTGGAGCTGAGACCTGGATCTCACCCTGATCAATATCCCTCACTCAACAACCTCGCAAATGCACTTTCAACCCGATTTGAGCAGACAGGTCAGCTGACAGACTTGGAGGAATCTACTACTTTTCACCGACAAGCATTGGAGCTTATCCCTGAATCTCACCCCCACCAATCCGGCTCACTCAGTAACCTGGCAGTTGCCCTTCGGACCCGGTTTGAGCAAACAG